AATAGAATATATGCTTAATTCCATTCCAATGTCTCCGTGTAGGAGATGAGCTAAATCTTGCTAATAGATTAGTAGCAAAAGCTAAATCTGGTCAGGCACAATTAGCAAGATACAGAAGAGCTCCTATTGCACTTAAGGTACTTCAGGACCGAGGAATTCTTCATCACCTTCGCAAGGGCGAAATAAATCCTATTCAACATTTGGCAATCTAACAATCATTGGAGAATATAACAATCATTGGAGTATTTGAAAGGTTTGTTGTATACACATTTAAGCGTTTTAAGACCTTTTTAGTATAGTTTGATTGAAGTACGAGTATTTCAATTTGAAAGTGATCAATTGGTAAACCGAGACAATATTTCATTTTTCCAAGGTATTTCATCTCAAATTCATCTTTTAAGTATATCACAGCTTCTTAAATTTTTATGAGTTCTAATGATGTTCAAATGATCGACATAGACAGTGATATAACAAAACTAGACGTTGTTCTCTTAATAAAAACACATGGGCACATGAGATTATTCACATATCCTTCTTTTGACAAATATTCGCTTAAGCAATTATACCACAAGCGTCTGGATTGCTTTAACTCATATAATGATCTTTGTAACTTATACGGACATATATCTTTAGGGTTTGAATTTAGTGTTTCAGGCATCTTAAATCCATCAAGAATTTTCATATAAATATCACTATCAAGCAATTCGTATAAATAAGCTGTAACAACATCCATAAGAAGCATCTCTAAATTTTCAGAAACTATTAGGCTGATTAAATATCTGAACGTAATTGCATCCATTACAGGAGAATATGTTTCCTCATAATCAATCCCGTGTCTTTGTGAAAAACCTTGTGCCACAAGTCGAGCTTTATACCTTATAATTTCATTTTTCTCATTGCTTTTTCGCACAAAAATCCATTTGTATCCCATAAGTCTCACGGCTTCTGGATTTAAGACAATAGGTCCAAAAACTTTACGCTTATTAAGCGAATTTAACTCAGCCTGTATAGCATCTTTCCATTTGATCCAATCATGTCTATTTTGGCATTTAGAAATAGATCTTAGTTCAAGGTCCTCAGTTCCGTTAATAATTTCACATGCCACAGAGTAAGAAATTATTTCATCAATATTTTAAATTTTATTTCAATTCCATAATCCACCTGTATTGATATAGTCAATAGACATCTCACTATTCTCAAAACCTTTAGAATTTTCTACGGTATCGAGAATCTCTTCGTTTGTATTATTTTGTGTTTCTCCTAGAACACTTTCTTCCAAATCAGGGTCATTATACTTATTTGCTCCCTTTCTTTTTCGAGGATTTTTGTCTTTGGAACCAATAGGTCTTCTAAGCTTTAGGCGTGTTTTAGACATATTAATGATTTCATTTTCAGATTGTCCTTTTGGGATTTTAATCTGAGCGGGAGCATTTGCAGCTGGTACATATGATTTAGTCACCCTTTTTGTATCAGTAAACGCATTTGGTAATTGATTTGCTAAGTTTTGTAAGTGCATAATCTTTTACACTTCTAGTTCACATTGCTTTATGTAAGGCTCAAAATGCAACAATGATGGTTCACACCTTGTGATTTCCTTTTACAACTGTTTATTTTCTCCCCCTAATGTTGGGAAGACTACCTCATTAAAATGAAAATTGGCAAAACGTGTCATAAAAACATCACCAATTTGAGGCTCAAGATATTTGATGACAGAATGGGATTCATACCCAACGTATATTCCCAGTCTTCTTTGAGGACCCATCTTTGTGTGTTGTGGTGGAGCAATTGGTACATATACTGCACAACCAAATATTCTTATATGGGAGATATTTAGTTCTTAACCAAATGCCAGTTGTAAAGGGGAGTACTTATTACAAGCACTTGGTCTAATGCGAATTAATACTGTAACATGTAAAATTGCATGACCCCATATAGAAATAGGTAGCTTTGTTCTCATTATTAATGGTGTAGCAATAGGCTAGTGACGTTTAATCAATGATTTAGCCAAGCCATTTTGTGTATGCATGTGAGCAATAAGATGTTTAGCAATTATTCCAATTGACATACAATAATCATGAAAAGCTTGAGATGTGAATTCACTAGCATTATCAAGTCTAACTTTCTTGATTGTATAGTTAGGAAATTGTGCTTGTAATTTAATTATATGAGCAAGAAATCTCGCAAATGCCACATTCTGAGTTGATAATAAGCAAACATGTAACCATCTATAAATACCATAAAGTATCGGAATGTCCGCACGGTGGGTGTATAGGCCCACATATATCACCTTAAATACGTTCAAGAAATGTATGTGATTCTGTTTCAATTTTGGCTAGTGAAGACCTTGTAATCAGTTTACCAAGAGAACAAACTTCACATAGAACTTTATTCATTTGAAAGATCTGTTGGCCTTTTAATGAATGTCCATGTGAACTTTCCACGATTCTTCGCATTATTATTGAACCACGATGACCCAAACGGTCATGCCATAGGGTTAATATTTGGGGATCTTCTTTAACTACCATGTGTGACTCTATCACATTTATATATGTGTAATGTAATCCCGAAGAGAGTTTTAAAAGTTGTTCTAATATGTACTTCTTTCCTGATACGTTAGTAGTTAAATACATATATTTCTCATTCCCTACAGTTTCAGATTGTGTATCATATCCATGAAGATATATGTCTTTGAAACTCAATAAATTTCTTTTGGACTTTTGTGAAAATAGAGCAGCATTTATGAAAAACTTTGTTCCATTTGACAATACAAAACTTGCTCTACCAGTCCCCTTAACCAGATCTACAGGACTTGATATTGTATTAATTATTGTCTTTACTGATTTTAAATTAAAGAAGTACTTTTTTTAGAAATTGTGTCTTAGAAATATGAGATGTAATAAGATATTTATTATTTATTTAATAAAAAAGTTTATTCATTATTTTTGTGCATATATTAATGAAATTTTTATAAAATTTTTGTACATATATTAATGAATATTTTATGAATATTAGTAAAAATTTTATGATTATTTATGTTATCTTTTCACATACATTAAATTAAATCCTTGTATACACATGAGTGGAATCTGATTATAAAACACAAATCACGTGTCAAATTAAGAGTTCATAAAAAAAAAAAAAAGAGTAAAGGACACCTGTATAGCAAAGTCCATGTTCAATGGCCGCATGGCAAAATCTCATTAAGCAAAGTGTTGAAGTAGGATTTATAGATATTTATAATATAATAACTAATAGATTTCAAATCTGTTTATTCATCGTATACTTTGTCCTTTGGCAAACAAACATATCGAAAGGTCCACTTTTCGTTTTTTTTTAAGGATGAAATTCTATTTTATTGAACATATGCTTCGCATCCCTAGACCCGTAACAAAATTAATTTGGATTGTAGAGTCGAGAATCTTTTCTCGATCTATATTCTGTTGGGTTTTGATCTAACTATGTATAAAATAAAATAAACCTATAAAGTTTAGTCAGAAGCTTCGCAAGAAAAAGATTTCAATTGTCATGGAATGCCGTGAAAGTTATGATCAGCTTGGGTTAAGTCTGTGGTCTTGAAACTTTCTTATAAGCCAGTGTTAAATTTTTAGGCCAAAAGAAGTCTTATATGGATTTTTCACTACTCGTTTAGCTAGAGCAACAATGTACTACGTACGCTACACGTCTTTTAAAAAGAAAAAAAAAATCCATGCAACTTTTTAAAAACGAAAAGAAACAGAAGAATGAAAAAAGAACATATCATTAGTTTCTTCTTTATAACAAAATTTAATTATGTACTTAAGCTTATCATAGTTATCATTTTTTGTCATGCTCTTTTTGTAGTGAGAAATTTTTGTTTAGAGTGTGGTGTGGACAATCAAGAGGGGTATGTAAATAAAAGCACTCTTCTCATTTTTTTTCTCAAAAAAATTAAAAGAAAATTTTAAGAATGTCATTCAAAAGATAACATTATTTTATTTCTACCATTAAATATTTTAAATTTATAACTTATGTCATTCATATTCTCGTAGTATATCTTTAACATTCTACCAAAATTTTTTTTTTTTTGATAGGATACTTTTCGTATTCTACTAGAAGACTTTTCATATTCCACCAGAATATTTTTAAATGACATAAATAATAGGATGATGAAAAATAATGATTATTCTTATAATTTTTAAAAATAATAATACGGATAATTGACACTATTAAACCCTGAACTTTAAGTATAGTAATATTTTGGTTCTGAATTTTAATTTTGTCATTTTGAGTTTGGAACTTTCTCCAATAGAGCTTCTCTATTAGTAGGATTAGTTTTTGACCATTAGATTTAGTTAAAATCACATTAGACTGAAAAAGTATGATAATTATGTGATAAAGATGTGTTATTTACTTTAGTTTCAAAAAATTTTCATTAATTTTAGTCATTTGGCGTTTGCGGGGTGGCAAGCAAGCGAAGTCGCGCATGGGGGGTTTGAGTATGGAAGAAGAAGATACTATTTTTGGGGTTTTTTTTTTCCCTTTTTTAAATACAAATAATAAGAATTTTTTTTTTTTTTTCAATTAAGAGGTGTGGGTAAAAGAATAATTATTCATTAAATTATTTAACAGTCACTATTATTTGTGTGACATCTTCGTTAGAAAACTTAATAAAAAGAGCTGTTTTGTTTTTTTTTGTTTTGGTCAACCTTTTATTTTCTAGAGACAAGTAATGTTAATTAGTTTTATAAGTGAGGAGGTAAATTGTCGTATGAGTTATAAATTAGAGAGAATTTTCGTACTTAATTCTAATAATAATAGTAAAATTTTCCGCATTTTTCCTTATAAAGCCAGAAACCAGGCTTTCCAGTTCTCGTGCCTCCACTTTTTTCCTTGACGTTTGGCAAACACAAGCATTGATCATTATATAGATCACGACCTTATTTTTTGTCACTGATCATAGCAACCCACAGATGGCAACTCGCATTATATATCGCACACCCACATCTGAAAAACATGCCAAAATGCCTGTCGAGAGTGCTGCATCGCCAGGTTATGGACAAATAGTGTGTATCACCGGCGCCGGAGGATTTATTGCCTCTTGGATCGTCAAGCTCTTGCTTGAACGAGGCTATACTGTTAAAGGAACTGTCAGAAATCCAGGTGGGTCCTTTAGACCATGTTTATTTCATGAGTTTGAACCGTATTTTATTAGACTTTGTCACAAAAATTTAAATTATTCTCTTATACTATTGAATATACATGTATGCGTGTTTTTTGATTGGTGTTAATTTTTGTGTATTTTTTATTTTATTTTCTGGTTTGGTTTGGTTATAGATGACCCAAAAAATAGTCACTTGAGAGAGCTTGAAGGAGCCAAAGAGAGGTTGATTCTGTGTAAAGCTGATCTCCTTGATTACGAGAGCCTCAAAGAAGCTATCAGTGGTTGCCATGGCGTTTTTCACACGGCATGTCCCATTAGTGATGTTCCGGTAATCAATTTTACTTCTTTATTTTGCCCTTGGTGTTATGGTTCTAACTTTACTTCATCTATAATCTACGAGAAAGGGTAATGTCACTTATTTCATCACTTTATTTCTTACTTTGTTCTCCTTCCTCTTTTACAACATATCATTTCACTTACCTATATATATTAAACATAATTATAGACCAATTTTACCTCTTTATTACAACTTTGCCACTTTCTAATACAATAAAATTGCCATTATAATTTTTTCTTAAATCTATATGATTTTATAAATACGCATCAACATTTTTTCTTATTCTTTTCTTCTTTTTATTTTTCTCTTTAAATATGTTTGGATACTTATTATTATTATTATTTTCTAGACTAGAAACATTTATCAACATTTTCTTGATCTTCCTCTTTAACCGAATCGTGACATCTCATTTTAGACATTATATATACATAATACACACACCTTTGTTTAAAATAAAAAAACTTAAACAGAAGATTATCAACCAAATTCTTTTTCATATAGCGCATGCTTTGATTCAACTATAGAGCATTTGAAATTTTGAAGAAGATTGAAAGATTGTTGTCTCTCCTCGCCCTCTCTTTTAAAATTTAATGGCTATATTGTAATAATTTATACAAATAAAACTCTTTAAGATTTCCCTTTTGCTAATAGAAAAAATGAAAAGTTGTATTAAACTGTAAAAAAGTAGTTGATAATTTTTTATTTGCTTTTATATGGAAATGAAAAGATATGTAGCAAAAAGAAAAATACGAGAGTGATGAAATAAGTGACTCTAACATTTAATCTATTTATTAAAAAAAAGAAAAAAAAAGAAGAAGAAGACAGAGACGCCTACCGCCATCTCAACATATTTTGGGTCTTAAGCGAAGTCTTTATTCTTTAAAAAGGGCCTCTTCAAGATAAAATACTAGAAAAATGAAATTTTATTCACACCCCAAACACTACAATGGTGAAAAAGAAATAAACTATCTCAAATCTTCTCAAACGGCTAGTTGCACTCCAAAAAAAACTCAAGATCTCATCCTCTCAAATGTGTCAACTTGTGCAGCACTATCTAAGGGATTCACAAAGTCTAGAATATCATGTAATTATATATGAGCGTTAGAACAAATCTTCTTTTTATTGTATATAGTTGTTAGAATCAATTTATGAAATACCCTCTTTAATAAGTAAAATGATGAAAAAGGACAACTAAGAAACATAATAAAGAAGCATACCCCTCTCTCTCTTTTTTTCCCCAAAGATTCCATAAATTCTAACACTCATATTTCCATATGCATTTTCATCATCGCCGGCAATATTCAACCACAAAACATATATGCACAGGAGGAAGTATTGGAACCAGCGGTGAATGGGACAAAGAACGTGATAGTGGCAGCCGCCGAGGCGAAGGTGCGGCGAGTGGTCTTTACGTCATCAGTTGGGGCGGTCTACATGAACCCAAATCGGAGCCCCGATGTTGTGGTTGACGAGTCTTGTTGGAGTGACCTTGACTTTTGCAAGAATGCCGGGGTACGTAATCCACTATAATTATCCTTCCATTTCGTAACTTTTTCTATTATTTTTTTAGAGTTTTCTCTCAACTACCCGTAATTTTCTATTTTCAGCTGTTAGATCGTATCATAAACTGTCTGTTCTCCATATTTTTTCAATCTGATGCGATTTTGACTTGATCCAATGTTCATAATCGCACTACTTGTAGGATTGACTTATCAAAAAAACTCCTTTTCTACTCCTCTATAGAACAAAAACTTGAGAGATAAATTGTCAATTTTTAGTTAGTAAAATCAATTTTTTGTAAACATATTTATCATATTTATCCGTTCACGAAATCTTCTAGCTAGCAAGTCACTGGATTCACTTTATTTTGTCAAACTAGCCAGTACAAATTAATTGACATTGTAAATTTCACATATAATGTTAGAACTACCACTCGAATACATACAAATCTCTAACTATAGCTGTTACATGATCTTGCAGTGGTGGTACTGCTACGGGAAGACCGTGGCGGAAAAGGCGGCATGGGACGTGGCGAAAGAGAAAGGGGTGGACTTTGTGGTGGTGAACCCGGTCCTTGTCCTTGGACCGCTTCTTCAGCCAACTTTGAATGCCAGCACTGTTCACATCCTCAAGTACTTAACTGGCTCAGCCAAGACTTATGCCAATGCAGTCCAGGCTTATGTCCATGTCAAGGATGTTGCCCTAGGCCACATTCTAGTATTAGAGGCACCATCCGCCTCTGGCCGCTATATCTGTGCCGAGAGCATGCTTCACCGCGGTGAGGTGGTCGAGATCCTGGCCAAAATCTTCCCTGAGTATCCTCTTCCCACAAGGTAATTAAGTATACATTTTACTATTTCTTCTTAGTATAATTATAATGTCCCCATATAAATAAACTAGTCCCATATAATGTGGTGCCACTGCCACGTTGAATTCCTCGTATTAATTAGGTACAAGTAATTCTGATATGGGTTATTTACATATTTTTATACCTTGCATTTTAAGTTTATTCAAAAAGTTTACTTTTGGTTTTTAATTTCATAAAAAATATATCATTAAATTACATTCATTACATTAATTTATACCTTTTTAAGGTGAATATACAATTTTGACCTATAAAATGTCTAAATACCCTGAAAATAAAAAAAAATTCTAATTGAAAAATAAACAAAACCCAATCATTTTTTGTTTGAAAACCCTAATCACTTGTCTCATCTAACCACCCACCCCATCCGGCCCTTCTCAATTCCAGTTCAAGTAATCAAGCACGATTAAGCTATCCACACAATCTTTCAACTTCTCCCCTTGCTTTCAATTTGCTAAATCCATTTCTCCCACACTTGGAAACACCGTGAGAATTTATCCCCAAAAATAAACTGAAACTCTCTTGCAAGTTCGTCCTTTGTTCCTCATTGCCTCCAAGACCACAGACTTCCTCTCGTCACCCAAGCCACCGTTATGATGGAGCTCGGCAGTGGTGTCACAGGGTCGAGGAGGTCGGCAGCAGCCCTATAGGCGAGGAATGTCCTCACCCAGCTTTCCCATATCGCCTTCTGCACTGCTCAATTCTTCTCGTCTCACCTTCGACATTTGAAACGTAATGCCTCCTTGGATTTCAACACCAACATTGAATTTTTAAACAAGTTAACAAATATATAAGTTTGAATAGTCAATGAAAATATGAAAAGGGATATTTTATTTACGATTACCTCATTAAATAAAAACCTTTCTAAGGAAAACCTAGTGGGACAAAGCCTTAGTAAAGAAAAAAGAGAACAATCAGGATAATTATACATAAGATGGTTACAAAATTACTAAAAAAAAGAAAAAAAAACATGAAAATATTATGAGCCTAGATGGGTCGTGCTGGGCCGGCCCATTATGGGCCTAGACGGGCCGGGCTAGGCCGGGCCATCATGGGCCTAGACGGGCCGGCCTAGCCCGGCCCAAGCCTGGTCTAGCCCATGATTTTTCATGGGCTGTGCCGGGCCGGCCCATGGGTCGATATATGTTAGCCCAGTCCAACCCACCAATATTTATGGGCTAGGTCGTGCCTTGAATAGTGACAGGCCATGCCGACCCGGCCAGTCACTATGTTAGGATGGGCCTGGGTTGACCCATGGGCCCCGGCCCATTGTTGCATCTCTAGTTAGGTGTAATGCCCCGATGACTAGTTCTGATCACATCAGCAGTTAATGGAGCAATAGCCTAGCAGGGAGATTCTAACTTTGTAACAGGGCACAATATATGAACACTTAGCTTGGTTGCTTGGAAAAAAAGAAATGATTTATTGGTTTTTCATTTTTCATTTTTTTAATAAAAAAATTGTGGTCTCATTTGATTCGTAGATTCAAATTGTGTTAACTTTTTTATTTAAGTCATGTGGGTTTAAAAGGTGTGGTTTAAATGTTGGAATCAAATCTTTGAATACAATATCAAGGGGTTAGAAAGTGTCCTAAATTAATCATTCCGTCTATCCACCTATTAAATCTCACATAGAAAAACGCATGAGAGGACAATATGCAGTTTAATAGAAGTTAATTTTGTAATTTTTCATACTAGAATACAACTATATTAACAAGGAAGTCACCAGTTTTTCCGTTAACCTTTTAACATATGGATTGACAAACGGATTAAGTTTTCAAAATCAAGAACCAAAATGGAATTTGACTATAGTATGAGGACTAAAAATTGAATTAATTAACCCTGTGGATTTTGCATGTTCTATTGTCTTTTCGAATGTCTCGAGTGTGCTTAATTTTTTTTCACTTCAAGAAATATATATATATATATATATTCATTGCTTTCCAATATTACCCTGCAAGATTCAAGCCAAAAGACAGATTTTTTTAGAGCAAGATAGTAATTTGAAAGCGTGAGTGGGGTAATTAGATGTACTCTATACCCAACAAGAAAACAAAAAGTCAACTTAGGTATCAGGCTTCCTTTCTGGCATAATAAAAGAGCTTTAACCAAGATCCGGGCAACTGGGCAAGGGCCAGGATATGCCAAGTCAATTGGGGGTCACTTTGTTAAGGAGGGTTCAGCTCAAGACACTAGGCCATTAAATAAAGATCTTATAATTTAATATGGTTCAAGATATATATATATATATATATATATATTTTTTTTTTTTTTCTATCTAAATCATATGGCCAATGTGTTACCACAATGTGTGTTTGTAGGTGTTCAGATGAAGTGAATCCCAGAAAAAAGCCCTACAAGTTCACTAATCAGAAGCTAAAGGACTTGGGCTTGGAGTTCACACCGGTGAGGCAATGTCTATACGACACCGTAAAGAGCTTGCAGGAGAAAGGTCACCTTCCGGTTTCCACACCCTAAGAAGATTGCATCAAAATCCAATCTTGAAATAAGAAAGGGTTGAAAACTCGACATTTCTACCGATGTTTTTGCAAAAATTTTCATATTTTAAAAGTATCGATATAAAAATTGGGGTGCAGTTGTTAGCATTTATAAATTAGAAATAATATAACAATGCTTTATGCATTCTGATATCAATAAAAGATTATTTATTTATTTCATATATGAGTATTGTCTTCTTTATTGTCATATTAATTGAATATATGTTAAACAAATTAGAATTTAATGCTATCATTTTAAGTCTTTACATCGTGCATATAGTGTGAAGAATATGCAGAAGATGTGAATTAAAAGATAATAGTTTAAATCATATGATTTGAAATCGAGAAAATAATGGTAGGCGCTAATTTATTCATGTTAAGATCTTTATGCTGTTTACTTGCTAAAAAGAGATGGCTTATCTTGGTTGTATAAAATAAATAATAAACTTGTATCTTTTAATGTACCAAATGGACATATCCTGAGATTGTTAAAGGTACACATGTCATACGTTGGAGATATGACTCTTAAATGCGTAGATGTATTATTTAAGGATAGGGAATCCATAGTTTTTTTATAAAAAAATTAATCAATGATATCTGCTTATGACATATCTATAGTTTGAAAAACATGAGCACTCAACCATTAGATTACTTCGTGTTATTTAATAGTTTACTATCTATATTGGTGTATGAATAGAATAGTGGTTATTTAAAGGGAGAAATAAAGAAATAGGCCAAGACTTGAGATGAATTAAAATTAATAGGCCAATAGTTTACATAAGTTAATAAATAGGCCAAATTATTGTTTTCGTCCATAACTTGTCTAGTTATGAACCATAACTTGACAAATTATTGTCCATAATTGTTCATAACTTGTCTGGTTATGAACCATAACTTGATAAATTTGTTCATAACTAATCTGGTTATGAACCATAACTTGACAAGTTATGGCCTATTAATTTTTATAACTAAAAATTGACCTATATACTTTTTTAAGCTTTTCATATTGACCAATTTTCTACTATTTCTCTTATTTAAATGTAGTAAAATTTCAGGTATTTATTTTAGAGGTACTTTTTGAATGTAGTCTTCTATGATGAATTTTACCAAATGGAACGGTCAAATAAGTGGATTAATATAACTAACGGAAAATTTGGTATTACTTTTTACTAATTTTACCACTATTTTAATTAACCTCAAATGCACAATCCTTATAACTTCAACATGAGATATACTTACGGTGGACACGGTGGATATAGGATCTTAAATTATCTACCTCCACAGTTTTGAAATGAAGTTTAATTGATCACACAACTAAGTTAGTGGGAAGATCGAGAGACATGGTATATCCAAAACGCCGAGAAGCTATAGAAGTTTTTTTTATTTTTTATTTTTTATTTTTTTTAACACCTAGAAGCTCTTTTTGGTACTGATGCATTCTCATCTTATATGAAACTATGGATATTTTACTTCGTGTGTGAATATATGCTTATTGTTTCCCGAATTTTAATTACCTCTTACCGTGTATATTTATCATACCGTTAGTATTTTGATTGAGAGCTTCATTTAGTTTTATGTATTTGTTACGCCATGGTCAAGGAATCGACCACTCTCTCGACGATAGGCGTCGAGGACTCCTCGTTGGGAATCGATCGCTGGCGTCGAGGGAACGGCTGTAGCTAAGGTGCCCTTTGCGTCGAGAGATCACACGTGGAGAGAGGCGTCGAGGATAGTGACTCAACCTCTGAGGGCCACTGCGTTGAGACATCCCGCCGAGTTAAACCCGTCAACGATCTTGTCAACTCTGAGAAGGAAGCATCGATCCAACGGCTACTGCAGGAGTCAGTAAATTGGGCGGCAGATGAGAGGGGTCAGTTGCATTTCTTGAGATTGTCATCATAAAAACTCACCTACCCTCCCGCATATCGAGGATGGAAGATGGCTTCCTCCTTGGGAACGGGGAGGGCAAGGTCACTTGTAAAGGCCTATAAATAGAGCCCAGAACACTCAGAAAAGGGTTAGACACCATTTCATTATTAAGAAAAAGCTTGTAATCGGCTGAAAGATTAGCGCATACACAAGTGGATTAGGCAAGGAGTTATTGCCGAACCACTATAAAATAACTGTCTCATTAACATTATTTTTGAGTTTTTATCTTTGATTGAACCGTGAGTGTTTTTGGAGAAGTAATTACGAGTTGTCGAAAAAACACCGTCAACAGTATTATTAACAATTTTAGAGTTTCTTAAAGTTAAATTTAAAAAATTCCAGGATAAATTTCATATTTTACATCAATTTCCACCGATGTTGATACTTTTGCAAAAGCTAAGTACTGATATCTCTATAAATATTGTTATTTTCATCCTTCAATAGAAGCTTGTTCTGAACGATATAATATGTTCTTACCTAATCCCATTTGGACCATTACAATATAAGGGGCACATGAGGAATTATCGTAGCCTCCGTTCTTATGGAAGAAAAGGTCTGAAAGAAAGGTTACCCTTTACACACCCCTACAAAATGGTAATTTTTTTGGAATCACTAATTTTATAGTGGATGGATGAGTTACTTATTTGAGCTAGTTGGGCTCTAATATTATGTGACAATTATGCTTTCTAAATATTGAATTTCTATCTTAAAAAGTCAACCTATTAAGTAGTTGAGTGACCCAACATTCTTACAAATTATTGTATATTCTTGTACTTGAAATATGTGGGACTCGGATTTATTTTTTATTTTTTACACGCTTTAGGATGGTGAAGTATAAATCCTCATATCTAGACTTAAAGTTTACTAAGGTCCCGTTCACTTAATAGATTCAAATTATGTGGGTTTAAACCTTTAGGTTTGAGCATATATGTAGGTTTTTTGAGGTTTGACCTAGTATTTGGTAGTGTAAGGTCTAAGCAGTGATAAAGGTTGAACCAGTATTTTGTTAAATTATTAGAACAATTGTTTTTTTTTTTTTATAAAAAAATTGAGTCAAAATAATTGGTGGGAACTTTTGTGTTGTGTTTTGAACAGTAAAATGATTAGAACCTTAACAACTTTGGGGAGAGCGCGGGTAGAGTTGAATTCAATCTTCAATTTTGGGTTCAAATGAACCCTAAACTCAAATTCAAATTCAAAATGTTATGCAACTAAACAAGGATTTAAATTGACTTTTAGATTGATACCCACCTCAACCCTCCAACGTTAAACAGGCACTAATCGCTGCTCATGTTTGTGACAAAATTACTCTTTAAGAGTCAATTGCAGAGTACAAACAAAGGTTACTTATCTTATAATGAGTATTTACTAAGGTTATGATCTCTTGAATCTTGATGGTCATTTGGTTATGATCTCTAGAATCTTGATGGTCATTTCTTTAATAAAGTACCCAACATCACATACTCACTGTGAACAATGATCAGTTTATACTAATTCTTCAAAATTATATTTTTCAGTTTCATACATACACACACACACACATATATATATATAAACACTTCGTATGCATAACTAAAGACTGTAACCATAATATTACATAACATGAAAATATGATAATATGTAACCATATCATGAATCATTAATAAAAATGCATAAAGTTTATTCGTTATTTTGCCGTAAAAGATTAAAATGACGCTCTTAAAGCACTTGTACCAACATTCCATTATGGTCTGTTAGAAGGCTGTTATTTCAGTTGATTAGTTAGTTGCATTTCTACATACCTGAGCTTTGACAAGAAGTTGGTGTTAGTTTTACAAATAAGTTAGTTGCAGACAAGTCTATTTAAGATTAGCTACTATATGCATTTCAGAACTAAAATTGTAGGTGTCATATCATTCATAGCTCCTTGAAGTTGTGGTTCTTTCATTTGAGAATTCACAAGATCTAACTGGGTTGAAATTAGAAATATCTAATACCAGTAAAGGGTATTTTTCCCACAACAGAAATTGCCTTTTGGCCACGTTATATCTGTAATAAGACCCTAGCTCATCTTTGTTAAGCGAGTGGTAAGTCCGAAATAAAAACAATATCCAAGGTCAATGAAGGAGACAACCAGTATTACATATTAAACAATGACAAGTCCGACGAAACTATATTGGTAGGCATAACTACAAAAATATTGCAATATTGTATATATGGTATGTATAAGTTAACGTCAGATTTTTTTTTTTGGTTGTGTTTTGTTTATACACAATATTTAATAACGTGGGAATAGCCTAAGACCTCTTAAATTAGTAACACCGAAGGGTTTGGGTGGAGGGTTGAGTTGTTGAATAAAAAAAAATAACGTGGGAATATAGGCAACTGTTAATTACAGATGCCTTAAATGGAGGCAGAGGGGTTCCACTTATCTAGCAGTAAATATACATAAATTCTAGCTTGAACAAAAGCGGACAAAACGGACCATTTCTTGAAATTGCACCATGGGCAAGTCAAAAGTATATGTGAAAAACTCATGTCATAATATTATATTCTATTCACAGTACAATTGTTGTTTGAATTATACGAAAGGTTGTTATTTTTCTTTGGGATGTTTACCTTTTGATGTCTTCGTTCTTACTTCAACTACAGATTCAAAGTAAACTAGACTATAATGGATTAGACTTCTGTCCTCTCCATTAAACCTAATAAAGGCTCTGGCGGATGTTACAATATTGTCAACACCGTGAGATTTATTTGGTTTTCGGTGAAGTTCTTTTGAAAATATGCATGATGTATATGTCTACGACTACCAGACATATGCATGATGTATATGTCTACGACTACCAGACATATGCATGATGTATTTAATTACAAATTACAGTTTATATATGTGTGTGTGTATATATATCTAGCACGTGAAAGTGAAATTAGCTAGATGAGGTTGTCTAAGATCACAAAGCTTGAGTTTTGGTCTCACAGCCTCTTATTAGTACTATTCAACCTTATAACCGGATTTTGGCAACCTTTTAAGGAGATAAAAAGTTGTTTCTTCGGCTTATATATCATGAA